TGAATGATTTAATCCCATTAATTTATTCAACTATCTTATGTAAACATTGGCGATGGAATCGATCAGTAGATTACTTCAGCGGACGAAAAAACTACACTTTTCTGACAAAAAAAACTTGTGAAAGTCACCGCCACATATCTTAATTTCAATCAGTCGAAAAACTTGCGGTCCATAAAATGCCTTCTGTTGTATATCGTTCCGTGACAGAGAACTTCAGAGATTTGTTAGCAGATGCAAGCGGGAGAAAAACCGGTAACCAAAGATCATCACGTTCTAATGAAAATATATATTGAGCGGCTGTGAGGCGAAACTTGACTTGAGAAATTTGGCTCGTGCAGGTAGAGAAAGATTTAAATCGCAGCGTTAAAATTTGATGAATTATGCAACCGGAAATTTGATAGACGCAGAATTCTATTTAGTATTAATTTTGTGGAACGCTCGAGCTATGCGGTTATCATTCTTCGGGGTTCAATGGTTACCATCATTCTAGATTCCTCCGTGACTCAAGCTAAGTCACGATGTGATTTATTCCTTTTCTATTGACTTTGCCGCGGTACTTACGTTAGCCCCCGCATTCCATCTAGCGATTTTAGTATTTCCAATTTGTCGTGCCATCAACTTGTTTCAAAGTCTTAATCTTCATACTCTTCATGTTAGGTGAACAATGACAAGCGCTCAACGGCAATTTTGCTGGAATCCGCAAGGCCTTCAATTCGTTCCCTCTGAACCGCAAATCCGGCCAGAATATAGGCTCTGTGTAGCCTCTGGAGCTTGCTTATAAGTATACTTTCTCACCCGCAGAAAATAACTCCAAAGATATGTTTCTGAAAACCTTATTCTAGGTATCCTCTATTCTTTAAGTGTATTTGAAACTAAGCGTCTTTATTAAACGTGGAGCATGACGAATTCGTGACTAGGAGGCATAAGGCTTCTCATTTAATGAATCACGTATTTACGCCTTTAAGTGGATAACACGAAAAAGGTTCGTATATTAGAAGGACTCTGTCGTTTTGAAATGTGTTTGCATTTCAAGGGTCGATTCCCCTTAAATATTATTATTCACACAGTCATCGGCCGTAAGTGTAATTGCTGCCAATTGTGTAGATTTTGGACAAGAATGCACATTCCATTCTCTTTGAATCTCGCCTGTGGCTTTCTGAGAGGAACTTGTCACTGAGGAATAGCAGGAGTCGTGTAGGCCCGTAAACAGTTTTTAACTCTTAAAGGAACGGCAATAGACAGTGAATCCCAATAAACTTCCAAGCATATTCACGTTTTTTCGCTGCCATTCGACCGCGACAGGATGCAAACGACTCACTCTTTGTTTAATTTATCGAAGAAGTTACTAATTAAATGACTTAGAGTTCGCGATATCTAATCGTTCCTCCACGTTTTTGAAAAGGTTTTGAACACACACTTGTCGACCTATCTCATAAGATATCGTTATGTTCCAAGAAACATTATAGTGTTAAGTTCAGCAAGCAATTAATTACTTGCAACTGAGTTACGCTTTGCACGGTGAAAGCACTTCACTGAAAAACAGCTGCTATTTTCATAAATATCGTAATTTTGAACAACTGCGTGCATTTGCCTAAGATTTACTTACATTGCTTGGAAGTCAAATATCGATGACAATGGCCACCACTTCCCAACTGCATTGGTTCTGTTCTCAAATCTAGCTTACTGAAATCAAGCGTATCCCGTTCAATAAACCATCTTAACTTCATACGTCATAGATTGGCCAGTTTCTCCGAAATGTATAAACAAAAGTTGTAGCCATACAAAGAAACTACCGAGCGTGAAGATTGGTCCAATACGGATTTGTCTGCACGTAAATTCGCTGAGGATCGGCTAAGCTTCAGGAGTTAAGTATCCATTATATATTTCTTCAACTACTTATCGCACGAATTTGTATAAGTTAATAGTCAGAAAAAATGATTTCATCTCGCCCCGGTCTATAAATGTAATGTGGTTGTTGTCTCAGAATTCTCCACTGCGCCAAGGAAAATCTCTGCGGAGAGCTGGTTCGACAATCAATACGACTGTATCTTTCTGATTTTTTGCGTTAATTTACGATCCATACAATATCTGAGCTTTCTACATTCAATCGTTCCCAACAACTTCTGTTCCAAGATGTTATTTATCTGCTACTACGATGGAAATACACGCCTGAACTACGTAAAACCAAGATTGACATTACTTATTCGTGATTAGCTATTTCCTGTCAATTTGATTTTAATAGCTGTTTCCTATTGTACGCCGATCAATACTTCTGTGATTTACACCCGCACGCACGCACATATTGCGAGCATGAATGAAACATCACGCAACGTCACAGGATGTTCCAACCAAACGCCCACGCACAATTTCCCTAGACAATTCCTTATCTAATTATTTCAGACAGAACACCTTCCCGACGTAGAAAGAAAACGGCAAGAACACATCCAAACCAGTCGCTAGACACTTTAATCTCCCTAGTCATTATAAACAGTATATGGCAGTTTGCGGCCTTTCCCCTACATCTAGGCAGTTCGGAAAGCCGCAATAAAACTCTAGAACAAAAATTTATTCTCCAGATCGGCACTCTTAATCTCCACGGTATCAACGAACGCTTTTCATTCAACTTATTTATAATTTTTATGTATCTCCAATCACCATATTTCCACAAATAGCGTAGCTCCATTTTCTGCATGTAAAACCCACACAAGACCCACAATTCCTCCAATCGCTCTGGCGAAGGGCTGACGCTCGAAACGTCAGCCTTTAACGGCTACGAAACTCGTTTTTGTTTTTCTTTGTTTTTGCTGCCCTCTGCCGCTTTTTGCAAATTCATTACCGACATTGTATTAAAATTGCTAACTTAATAAGTCTGCTCCACGTAACTTATCCCTTTTTTCGCGGATCAAAGCGGGCAAACCCGAGCGGCACTCGGGAAGCCAATTAGAGCACAGAATTCGTTTCATTATGCCCACAGGCGCTGTCATCCATGTAATAAGGTATTCTATTACTTAAAAAATTGATAGCCATGTAAAGAGAGCTGATTGGTGTTGTTTTAATTACTAAGATATGCTGGAAGGTATGAAAGCAAATTTTATCTTAGTCTAAGATATCTCGTGAGAAGTAACATACATCAATTGTTTATCAGTAAAAGCTCTTAGTTATTCACACATTTACCAAAGACTTCCCTAGAATTTAGGAAAGGTTAATGGAAACCTAATTTCATCGAATTCACATCACGAATGGGGCCTTAAAGAATGTTTGCTAAAAATGGTTTGGTGAACGGGATATGGGCGGGTTGTCATTTGGAGCTTCATTAAATGAAGATCATTTCCCTGTTGACGTAATTTTAGCTGATTACGAGGTTTATCTGATTACGAGGGAAACCGAATATTTCTTGAAAATAACATATCCATTTTTAACATCGAGATATTTTTGAAAAGATTACTGACCACGCTCTGTAAATCTCAAAATTTCTTGAATAGTACTGTTTCAGGCTAAATTCAACAACCAGCCTAACTCTAAATGTTCTAGATTTTTTGCGGAGCGAGTTTTTTCTTTCAAATGACATACGACACTCAAAAAAGACCACAAGCTTAATAGTTGCAGCGAAAAGACTTTCGGCTCGTTTGACACGTTTAATATCTATCAAGCTTTGAAATCTGTGGTGTCATTACTTGAAAGGAAAAAGAATAGTCAGTTGATATAACTACCTCGGGGTTGATGTATCGCTCGGATAAAGTTCACATGATGGCTCTCACGCGACTGAATGCGCGTGACCCTAATTAGAATAATCGTGTCCCAAGGACACTTTATTCTTTGCTTTTGATAAAAGAAAGAAGAAAAAACTTTGTAAGAAGAACATCTTTTGGTTGAACTTCCCTATCTCAGGCTTGTTATTATATCATTTAATCAACTCTTGAGTCACCGTATAAATGTATATTTACCGACCGAATTAAAATAGTTTTTTCGACGGGATATTGGAGTCGCTAGTTGTAGGCTCTTGGACAAACCAATCTTTTTCCGCCATTTCTTCACGGCTCACTCACAGAAAATTTCTTTTCACTTTGCTGACAAATTCATTGACCATATTTGTCGGTTTTGGGTTATGAGCTCGGAATTTCGTCATAAGGTCATAACATGACTCCATGCAGCCAATAAGAAGGCTATAAACTCAATAAACTGAAAAAAAATTATTCAACAACAGGAAAAGTGATTGACCTGGTTTCCAACGATGTTGCGATTGGAAGGAGAGACTATCAAGTGGATCTTTTTGGGTTCCATTTCCACCGTTTTTAATGGTTTTTTCACTGGCAAAATTCTTTTTGTACCTCCTCCTTATTTCGTCTTACTGTCCCAAGGAGGTGCTGTTCTTTTAGACCAACATCTCTCTAATGAATCAGATTGTTTCAGAGATACGCACTATCAAAATGCATGCGTGGGAAGATGAATACTGACAACAAATCAAGAAACCACGAAGGTGTGTAAAGATATTATGAAACGCAGTTTGTTGAACCCAGTTTTACAGGCTGTTTAACTCTTAGATGGTAATGTTGTTCTTGTGATTCCAATTTTACTTTTTTGCTGTCGTTTCCGAAATGAGTTATCGATGTTCAAATCTTTAGATTGGAATCAAAGAGATCACCAAGAACAGAGACTATCAATGTATGGATCAGAATATCCCAATTTTGGGTTCCTTTTTTTAAGAGATGAAATTCCATTAGAAATGTGTTCTCCTGCGCAGGTGTTTTGGCCCCGATTTTTTAATGGTTTATTTCATTGGCTGACTGAGAAAACTTTCTCAATGTCTTTGTGTTGGTTTCATTTAACAACATGCTCATTTCTTACCATGGGCTTGCCTTGTTAGAGGGATACGAAGCTTATGCCTCGCTTGGCAGAATTGAAGAATTTCTCCTTTTGAAAAATTTGCGAGTCATTTCAAGCGATCGCTCAAGCCAAAAATAAACAGAAATTGAAGCTGAAAACCCATCTGAGATGAAGAGAAATTCATTAGATTGCCAGAAAAAAAACAGAGAGGTCTTTCCACAGCTGATGAATTACAAGATCAAACGTCATTACGTGTGAGAGTAAGTTTGGTGTACAAGCAAGCGGAGCGACAAGACTCCTACATTCTTCAAGATATCGAGTTTTGCACTCCCGTTAGTAGTTTAACAGTCATCACCGGGCCAGTTGGTAGTGGGAAATCTACTCTTCTATCAGTGATCGCTGGTGAAGTTCCATGCACACACGGAGAAGTGTCCTGCCGAGGAACTTTAGCGTATGTTCCGCAGACGGCTTGGGTATTCTCTGGAACCATACGAGACAACATTTTGTTTGGTCTGTCATACGAGGAGCAAAAGTACACCAGAGTTACTGAAGCTTGCGCTCCAGCTGACGACATCCAGCAGTCTTCTAGCACCGATCAAACAGGCGTCGGCGAGTGCGGTGTTGCTCTGAGTGGAGGCCAGCGGGCTAGGGTAAGTTTAGGACGCGCAGTGTACGCTGATGCAGATCTGTACGTTTTGGATGATCCTCTGAGTGCCGTAGACTTCAAAGTTGGACAACACATATTTGAAAAATGTCTCAAAGAACTACTAGGAAATAAAACTCGGATGATGGCCTCTCATTACAAGGACCACATGAAAGGTGCCGATGAAGTGATCGTGTTATATAAGGGCCGTGTGCTGGAAAGGGGAGGTTTCCTTGAGTTACAAGACAAAGGAATCCTTAATAACACTATTGACCCACCCCACAAGAAGATTTCAAAAGGAAGTTTAGGAGAGGAATTTGCGAGAGAGAAAGAAAATAAGGGTGTTGAAGCTGCTGGCAACTTGATTGGAATTGAAAATCCATCGAAAGAAACTAGGAGTCTTCTGACGCCACAAGAACATCGAGAAATCGAAGTAATTTCTTCCAAGCTTTACTGAAACTATTTTAGAAGCGGAGTGTCTACTTGGATGAGACTTAGAGAGGCTTTTCCAAATACCTCACTGTGGATCCCTCTACTGCACAAGATTAGCCATAGTTGTTCACATAAAATTTCGACATGGTCACTCGTAAAAGTTTCCGCACCTCGGGCGGTTAATTTGCCTTCAATTTGAGTTCTCATTTGCGATGTGTTGCTTTCTTCTGCTTGGCTATAACCTAATTGCTTGAAGTTAACAACAGTAAATCGAAATGCGACCGATATAATTACCTTAACATGTACAATGTATTAAAGTATGGGTTAAAAACTTAAAATATTCACCTTGCAAAGAATTTTGGCAAATATTCCGTCATACACTGGAGCCTTTTACGTAGTATTCCAAGTGAGGTTGTTTGCCGTTTTGAAACTTCTTGATGTGCCATGCGGTAGCTTTATGTTTAAGACTGAACTGAGGGAGAACCATAGGTGCTTCACTTCATAGCTTATGAAATATCAATGATAAGAAATAGGGTTTGACATAAATTACGGAAACATACGGAGCACGCATTTGACACTGGTACTGCACTAGCCAAAAAAATTGGAAAACCTTATCCTTCTCACTTTCATGCATCTTGTACCTAGAAGATCTCAACATTCATATGCAATATGACCATTAAGAAAGGCGCAAAATTCTAAAGTGTATCAGATTTCAGATGAAACGACGGCCATGCCATTTTCTTTCCAGGATTATTGGCTGCTCCTGACGTGTGGCTCTCGTTTTTGACAAAGCAACTTCCTCAAGATCAAAAAGATCGATCGAGCTTAGACGTCTACGGATGTCTTACTGGAGTAGCACGCGATGCTCTGAGCGTCTTCATGACAAGATGGTCGTTGCCATTTTGAAAGCTCCTGTTATGTTCTTTGATTCGAATCCCGTGGGAAGAATCCTTCATCGATTTCTAAAGATATTGGTTGGTTGGACGAGCAGTTACCCAAAACGTTTCAGTCAGCGATCGATCGATACAGTTTTACTTGTGTCTGCGTCAATTATCATCCCGACTGTTATGAATCCTTGGCTATTTTTCGTACTTGTACTCGACCCCCTCTCGACCCCCTCTCGACCCCCTCTGGACCAGTAAACATCTTCAGCGTCTACGCCCCCACACTCTGAGGAGCTTGAGGCCAAGATCAGAGAGATCCCACAGAAAGAAGACTTGTTCCTACTTGGAGACTTCAACGCCCGGGTAGGCTCATGGCCGCGTTGCATAAGACACTTCGGAGTGGGCAAGCTTAATGAGAACGGACAGCGGCTACTTGAACTCTGCACTTTCCATGGTCTGTGCATCACCAACACCTTCTTCTCCGCTAAACCGCATCACAGAGTGTCCTGGAGACACCCCAGATCCAAGCACTGGCACCAGTTGGACTTGGTCATCACCAGGAGTACCCTGCTCAACCACGTGCTCATCACTCGCACCTACCACAGTGCCGACTGCGACACGGACCACTCCGTGGTCTGCAGCAAGGTGCGTCTCCAGCCCAAGCGCATTCATTGCTCCAAACAGCAAAGACGCCCCCGTATCGACAGAGCCAGAGTTTCACTCCCAGGACCGCGTGAGCGCTTTGCCGAGACCATGGAGAAAGCCTTAGAGGACTGCCCAACTGACAGTGCCACAGCGCGATGGAGCTACATCCGAGACGCCATGTATGAGGCGGCCTCAGACGCCTTCGGAATGCGGGAGAGAAAAAGTGAAGACTGGTTCGAGGCGGGGATCTAGGAGATGGAGCCCGCCATCACTGCCAAGAGCACCGCAATCCTCGAGCACAAGAAACAGCCCTCTAAGGAAACACTGGCTGCCTACAGAGCTGCTCGCAACAACGTCAAGAGGATTGCTCGCAAGTGTGAAAATGACTACTGGCTCGACCTGTGTAACAGCATCCAAATCGCCTTGGACTGTGGCAACATCCGCGCCATGTATGAGCGCATGAAGAAAGCCTTCCGCCCTAGCGCCATCAAGATTGCTCCCCTCAAGTCCACCACAGGCGAGATCATCACAGACCGCGGAAAACAGATAGAGAGATGGGCGGAGCATTACCAGGAGCTGTAGTCTCGGGAGACCACTGTCACCAACACCGCCATCGAGAACACCACCCTACCCACCATGGAAGAGCTTGACACACCACCCACAGTCGACGAGCTGAGGAAAGCCACCAAGTCCCTTGCCAGCGGCAAAGCACCAGGCAGTGACGGCCTTCCCCCCGAGATTGTCAAGCTAGCAAGCGAGAGTTCTCTTCTCGGCCACCTGCACGATCTCCTGCTCCAATGCTGGGAGGAGGGCACGATACCCCAGGACATGCGGGACGCTAAGATTGTCACGCTCTACAAGAACAAGGGCGAGCGCAGCGATTGCAACAATTATCTTGGGATATCCCTTCTCAGCATCGTAGGAAAGGCCTTTGCTCGCGTCGTGCTTAGCAAACTGCAGTTGCTGGTTGACCGCGTTTACCCAGAGTCGCAATGCGGGTTCCGTACAGAGAGATCGACAATCGACATGGTATTCTCCCTCAGACAGCTTCAAGAGAAGTGCCGCGAACAGAAACGCCCACTTTACCTTTCCTTCATCGACCTGACCAAGGCCTTCGACCTGGTGAGCAGAAACGGTCTCTTTACCCTTTTGGAAAGAATTGGGTGTCCGCCAAAGCTCCTGAAGATGATCATATCCTTCCGCGACGACATGAACGGTACAGTCCAGTTTGACGGATCATCCTCAGACCCCTTTTTAATCAAGAACGGCGTGAAGCAAGGGTGTGTCGTGGCCCCGACACTTTTCGGTGTGTTCTTCTCCCTTCTCTTGTGCTATGCCTTCCGCGAGTCTGAAGATGGCATCTTCCTCCACACCAGGAGCGACGGGAACCTCTTCAACTTGGCCCGCCTCCGTGCTAAGACCAAGGTGCGCAGAGTTCTCATCAGGGAGATGTTGTTTGCGGATGATGCTGCCCTCACCGCCCACACCGAGGAGGCACTGCAGCGGCTCATCACACGCTTTGCGGAAGCCTGCAATGACTTTGGCCTAACCATCAGCCTGAAAAAGACTAACATCATGGGCCAGGATGTCAGCGTCACCCCACACATCATCATTGGCGAGCACGCCCTAGAGGTAGTCGACAACTTCAACTACCTTGGCTCCTGTATCTCCAGCAACCTATCCCTGGACTCTGAGCTCAATGTTCGGATAGAAAAAGCAGCAACGGCAATGGCTCGCCTCGCAAAGAGAGTTTGGGACAATTCCCTGTTGACCATCAACACAAAGATAAAGGTGTACCAAGCCTGCGTCCTGAGCACCCTTCTCTACGGTAGTAAGACATGGACCCTCTACTCCCGCCAGGAACGCAGGTTGAATGCCTTTCACATGCGCTGCCTTAGACGACTCCTTGGCATCACCTGGCAAGACCGCATCACAAATGCAGAGGTCCTATCACGGGTAGGTCTACCCAGCATGTATGCCATGCTGACCCAGAGATGACTGCGCTGGCTCGGCCATGTATGCAGAATGGATGATGGACGCATCCCAAAGGACATCATGTACGGTGAGCTCGCCACAGGGACGCGGCCAACAGGACGACCAACTCTGCGCTATAAGGATGTCTGCAAGCGTGACTTGAAGACCTGCAGCATCAGCCCTGGAAACCTTGAGTCAGCAACAGCCGACTGTACGCTGGCGATCGACTGTCAAGGCCGGCGTCAAACAAGCCGAGTTGAAGAGGGAGAGCCAGTGGGAGGAGAAGAGGACTCGCAGGCTCCATTCTGCCCCCATTCCACCAACCCCCACAAATGACTTTACCTGCGCAAAATGCCAGCGGGTCTGCGGCTCCCGCATTGGGCTTCACAGCCACAGCCGGCGGTGCAGCTTGACGTGATTTTACTTCTTAGGTGCAGATTTCCATTGTCTTCCGAGACAGACGGTTGCCAACAACAACAACCGTTGATTGTGTCTGTTATATACTTCGCCACGTATTATTTGAAGACATCCCGGGAGCTTATGAGGTTAGCGTCCATATGTCGTAGTCCAGTATTCTCTAAAATTTCGGAACCCCTTGATGGACTGGACACGATTCGAACCAGAGGGCGACAAAGTGATTTTGTGGAGGAGTTTTACAGGTGGGTTTATTATAATTACCTTAATAAGGAAGATACAGTCCTCAGGGTGTGTCAACCGGTGTCAAACAGAGGGTACTCAAAAGTTTTTGCCACCTGAATATTGTTGGTTGTTTGCTTAAAAAAAGGCTTACAAGCAAGAGCACCCAGGTCTCTCCCCCTTACTACGCCCTTGGTCCCCACTTATGAAAAAGGGTAGAAATAAAGTCCACTAAAAGCTCTGACATTTTTTCCCTCTGCTTATTTTGGGAGAAATAAGTGCGATGTCTCAGTGATTAATGGATGTTTTTTTCGGTCCCTTAGAAGTTAAATGGACCAAACAACAATACAACCTCCTCTAATTTTTCTTTTGTATGTGGGTTTTCCTAAAGACATCACGATGTTCTTAATCAAGCAAACATCTTGGTATTGGCCAGTGGGAAATGGATCAGTGTGCGCTTTGAGATTCTTGCATCACTATTTATTGATGCAGTGGCTTTAGCAGCTGTTTTGGTATCTCAAGATGCCGGTCAGCATATAGTCAATAAACAGAACAAAGCCTAAATCATAAATATATCTTTAAATTAGTGAACGAAACCTCAATAAAAACCAAAGCAGTCATATCAGCTTCTCAGAAATATGGTGATCAGTAAAAAGGCGTATACGTAGTACAAGGCATTCGAATAGACCCGTGAGAAGTTTTAGAGCCACTTTAAACAGCACGTGTCCGCATGCGATCCAAACAGGCCTCCATCAAAGCAACTGCAGCGATCCTCATAAAAGAACTTGCCCTTGATGATTAACCCCTACACTGCCTTACATCACCTCCTACGACAAGGTCCAGTGATTAGAAACTTCTTTGACTATTTGATGTAGAAAACCAATTAGTAACTTGTTTGGTAAGATCTAAGTGTCCAATTTTTCGTTCAATCAGCTTTTGCTGGACTTGCCTTGGCCTACGTCGTCGAAAGATTTGGGCCGACTCAAAACGCCGTAAGAAAAACCGCGGAAGTCGAGAATTTAATGACGTCAGTTAAACGAGTTATTACGTATACCAAGTTTGAGTGTGAGTCTGGATACATAATAGAACGACGACCCCCGGAAAAATGGCCAAGTGAAGGAAATATCATACTTAAAGACGTTTCACTAGCATATTACCCGGGAGGACCGCAAGTGTTGAACAACATCAAACTCAATATCGAAGGAGGAGCAAAGATCGGTGTTACTGGCCGGACGGGGTCTGGAAAGTCATCTTTTGTGGCAGCTCTAATACGCATGCCTGAATCTGTGGTGAAATAATCATTGATAGGATTCCAGTAAAGGAAATCAACCTCCAGGAAACTCGACGATGTATATCCGTTCTTGGCCAAAGTCAAGTGCTGTTCAGTGGTTCATTGAGGAAAAATCTCGATCTCACTGAGCAGTTTACCGATGCGGATTTATGGCAAGTTCTACAAGATGTGCAAATGAAAGAGTCAGTGGAAAGTCTTTACGGTCAACTTGATCACGAACTGTTAGAATATGGTGCAAATATCAGTGTAGGAGAACGACAGTTTGGCTCGTGTGCTGTTGCAACGAAACACGATCATCGTTTTGGATGAACCCACTGCAAATGTAGATCCAGAAACAGAAAAAACAATCTGAGGCGTAGTGCGTGAAAAACTGAGAGATTCTACGTTCATCACTATAGCTCATCGATTGAACACCATTCTGGACTGTTACAAAGTTCCATTTTTGAAACATGGAGAGGTAGCAGAGTTCGACAAGTTAGACACATCAATGAACATAGAAGGAAGTGAGTTGGGTGAAATGGCGTGAATTGCAAATAGCAATAGAACGTAAATATACGTAGCTAATTTACTGACTGGACAGCTTTTAGTAAATGTTCTTTAACGTTACGGAAATGGTGGGTGTTTTATGTAAAACTAATGATGAGTTATCTCTATACTCATAAATTAAGGGAGTATGCATTTAGTCTTGTTCAGTTGTTGGACGTTAACGTCATTAAGACAGTATTGCCTTGATTTTCTAATATTTAATGATAGACAGTAAATTTCACTTTTCACCCACATTTACTTCCAACCTTTTCTTTTGAACCAGAAACAAAAATGATAGACGTTTAAAACACATGACATCATCCACCCTTGTCAAATGTAATAGCATGATCATTTCAATTGTAATGCCTTCTTATCCCAACGTTACTTTGTTTCTTTGCTACATTAGCGAACACCGAACTACTGCTTGTACTCTAGTTGACAATCAACCACAAAATTCCCTAAACCAGATAACATTAAACATAATCTAAAAAATTATGTGTCAATTCACGAGTTTGCTCACAGAGCACTTTGATTCTCTATCTTATGGTGTCACTTGATTGTAGTCAGAGTGTGACGATAAAAAGGCCTATATTGTAAATGCAATTGGTAAAACGGTTTATTTATATTCTGTTGTATTACGAGTTTTGAGTCGATTTGTATTCATCGAAAATTGTCATCATATACAAACCAGTGTTGATTATTTTGAGTTTGTTTCTATTGTTTGAGTCACAAACAAAATGAACGTCATTAGACTGTTTCACATTGATGCTGTGATTTATTGATGTATTATAATAAGATTCCATCTGTTTTGTATTATTATGAGCCATTTTTATAATAATTATAGTCTTGTCTGTGAATATATGAAAATCGTATGTGTGAACTGTGGATAAAGAAGTGAATATGAAAGCCATGCATCTCGGCATTAATGACCACTGCTTAAGGTTTGGTAGTAGTGAAAATAAGCCTGGAAAAAAGATACGATTTTCATATATTCACAGTCATTTATTCATCACTTCACAGGTTCATTTGGAACCAACATAATGACCAGCTCCCAGATGGTATCGCAGAGGTCATGGGTTCAAATCCCGTACAGGCCTGAATTTTTTTCAGGCCTTATTTTCACTTCTGTGTTTGTTTTGTCACATTTGTCATCTAAGAGTACTAACATTTGATTTCATGTAGACGTCTGTTTTATGAGGTTTCTTTATCGAAAAGAGTGTCAATGTCTAATTTCGTATACACATCTGATTTATAATCCTTGTTATCGAGAAGAGTGTCAACGTCAGATTCTGAGTTTATGTGTTTGTCTTTGTCTGAATTTCGATTAAATATTCCCATATATAATGATCTGACTTAACAGACTCACCAAGTAAGGTTAAGGCGCTTGATTTATCTGTTTTCAGAGCGTCATTATAAGTGATCATGTAACGTCCTGCATACATACGTTTAATGGTAATGGTCAAAACTTCATGAAATGAATCTCATCCAAAATCGCCATCATTAGACACAATAACATGATCTGTATAATCCTGTGTTCTAATGTCAAAAAACTCCACAGCAAACTTGTTATTATGTTTCATTTTGTTAACCGAGTGATATATACTTTTCGGAGTTAATTTATTGTTCAGATAATCAGTGAAATCAGTTTCTTGGGGGCTTTTTGTAACTGGGTTATTAGCATCGTCAGCGTCTCGTATAATTAATTCTCTGCTCATCTCGACCTTTTCCTGAAACATGATAGTTCCATTATCAACTGTTGCCAAACCAGAAAGAACTTTAGCGCCAACGCTAGATAATAATCTGGAGCTAGAGTCATAAGACGGCTAAACAGAGAGCCACCTATTTTCACAACATGACGTAAAGACTATCTGCGATTTGCTTATCTTGATATCCACACCAACACCAGTTGACATTGCTTTCTGTATCTTTTTGATCTCCGTAGTTAATACGATAATAAATGTTACATCATTTCAAAACAATCAGGAATGAAGTATATTCAATTTAAAAAAACAACAGTCCCCAGAACAAACTATCCTGACATCACATCTACACTGATTTCTTCCTCATGTAGGATCAAGGCAAACATATTGTATTCTGCATTAGGTGTAGATAATGTGTATTTCAATTCAAGTTTCGTAGAGCCTGACTTCAATTCTTCTTTCTGGTTTTGTAAATCAAAAAGGAAAAGATAAAGAATGGATTCTGAAACAAATCAATATCAATCGTCAGGCGTGTAAGATAGGTCATTCAAAGCACGGGAATTTGTTGTCGTGTTGTTACCCCGATCTCTATTCTCTCTTTCAGACAGGGCCATATGTGTTTTTTCAAATACCTTTTAAGAAATAAGTTCTCACATTTATAATTGAATGTCATCTTTGGTTCCCACAAAACAAATCACGAAATAACATATCAACCTTCTGCAGCGCTGGCTGCTCTGAAAATAACATGGTCATCACTTTCTAAGTTTATATTTATAGATACCTTACCATTTGAAGCTATCTCTGATTGAAACGATTCGAAGAACCCATATTTGTTCAATGGAATTATGAGGTTATTTGTAGCATTAGCACTAAGAGATGTTTTCCTTTATGTACACAGGTCCCCATTGCGTTTGCCCGATTTGTTTTGAAGGGAAAAGATGTCAGGATGTAGCGATTGACTTCAAGAAGTCTCTTGAAAATTTTAACCAATTATAACTGAATTAAGTTAATTTACTCGATTGCAGAACAGAACGCGAAAATTAAGCCGCCGGTTGTTCAGAGCTGTTTTCCTCTAAATTGCATTTATATTTTCCGTGTGGTAGAATAGACGTTGAATGCGCATGTCTAATTTAATTGTGCAACTCAAGTTGGTGACGATTACAGAAAAAGATAGAGGAAAAGCGACTTAAGTTTGTGCCTGATTTCATCTTTACTCTATGTGACAAGATCAGGGATAGTTTCCCATTTGCTAATTCTCCACACTTCCATATATGTGATAAAGCTTTGGTTAACGCGCATGACTTTAGATCCAGAGAACAGACTTCGACTAGGAGAATTTTTTAAAGAAACCTAACAGAAAACAAAGGCCAGAAAAAGGGAGCTTTTAAAAATCCGAGGGGGGCCAATTTTTTCGGTTTCTCCAAAATAGACACTGATAATGGCTTGCCAGCCGCTCTAAATGGGTGTTGTTGTTGTTATTGTTTTTTTTAAGGTAGTGATAAAAAAGTCGCGATAATCCCTACCGCTTATTTCGCGCGTGCCTAAATGAATTGTATCAAAATCACGTGTCGTGAGTGAACCTAAAAAGCACAGAAAAGTGCTTATTTTGACAGTTCGTTTCAAGAGGTTCTCTGGTGCTCTCTAAACTTCCAACGTGCATCCATAACTCGATACACGCACGCTAATCATGGACCAATTCTTTTATGTAAAAGTCACCTTGTTAATATAGCCACCTTGAGGCCGAGAAAACGAAGTTGTAAATGGAGGCAGTCTCGTTCGAAGACTTCGACGAAATCAACGAAATCTCTGTTAGAAACATCAAGAAAGCATGCATGAAGCACTACGGTATGTCGGAAACGATGTCCTGCAATGCACTTGCGGGGGAACAGGGACTCTCTTGTTCCTCTGTAACACAGTTGCCAATGTTAAAAAGGATCCATAGGCGATTCATAGAGGGCAAAGTCAAGGACGCTCCGATTGAAGTTTCAGCGGGGGTCGGTGGGCGGCGGAAGCGAACGATCAGCGACATTTCCCAGGGTGAGAATGCCGGGCATGGAAAGACATCAGTACCTCAAAGAGCGTCATTTCAAATTCCATGCAAGTTTGTCCCACAAAGACTTTCGGTTGTTGACATGCTAAAATTGGGAAAGCTCATTACCGATACCACAACCTCCTTTGAGATCTTTAATTTTGACATGTCGGTAATTTGGAACTGGTGGATTTCGTAAGGCGTTCAAAGCGACTTCCAAGGACAGAGGATTCAATGGCTCAACATGGGTGGTGAAGAGGTATCTAGAAAAGGCTGCGGTCGACATCATTGCTATTGGACAGACACTAGAAGAACATACAAAGAAGGTAGTGCAAATGCACTGCCTTGCACAAAATTTCGCAGCTAAGCTTAAAGAGGAGCTTCTTGCAAGCGATAATGAAATCTTTTTTGGGGAAACCATGAGTTACAAGAAGATATGCATGATTGATTGGAATTATTGGCAAAGAGTATGTAACAGCAGAAGATTTTATAGAGGGGACATTCCGCAAATATATCAACAACAATGGGAGCATATGTGAGAGCGTAAATGCTGATTCTTTGATCAAGAAGGCAGTGTCTGGCAAACTTCTCATATAAACAGTCAGAGAGAGAGGTGATGTTGCTGGATATTCAAGTCGGTAAAAGTTGCCTTTTTGCCTTGGAAATTGTTAGGAAGGAGCTACGGCTCAGCAACATGCTGTTTTGTACATGTAATCTGTTCTAGAATGCCATACAGAACTTCACTGCCAGTGACAAGTGCGATGATTACTGCAATGTATTGCAATTAATTGCATTTGAATGATTAAACCCGGTATGGTCTTTCCGTCTGCGACGCTTCAGGAGGCTCATGTATATGGTAATCGGTAGTCAAGTGGGCTTTAGAGGCTGATCATTCCACTTTTGAGTGGGGGGGGAGGGAGGAAATTTGAGTTAAGCATGACTTTCTTTTCCAGACCCATAACGCTCAAGATTATTGGCTTTTTTTTTTTTACATGTTCCTTCTGCAAGTTATAATTTTAATTTTTTTTTTGGCGGGTGGAGAAATTTTTTTCTTGTTATGTTGTTGTTTGTTTTTGGCACCAAACAGCTTGCAGCTTACACCCCCACTTAAATATTAAATGGTTGACTCATTTATTTGGTCATTTATGGTATTAAGTAATCTACCTTTCAGTAACCACGGCAAAGGAAGTCCCCCAAAAAAGACAGTGGGTTTACGCCAACACTGCAACAAGATGGCCGACTTACACAAATCACACGGCATGAAAACATGCGCCTGCATATATCTGCAACAATACTGCAGGCACTGCATGCTGGTAATGATGTAAACAGTGAAACTCACCTATGTTACCTTGGCTTGACCGCGTGATTTGAAATTGTCTTTGGCCTTCTTCTTCTTAAATTGGGGAGCCTTTCGGCGAGAGCATCTGGATCTACATTGTACATTACGGCATACACAAGATCGCGCGGAACGTTAAGCTCGTGGACCTGTCTAAGTTTTTTTGTGCAACGCTCGGTAGCCAAGACGTTTTGCCCGGCCCTTCGAATTCTTTCTTTAATGCCTCTTCAACCTCGTCGACCTGAACGGTTTGGTCTGTGTATTTGATGCCAGAGTACTCCAGTCTTCTGTCTGGCGTCCTTAAACTCCACGCATATTCACTAAAATCCCTTGAAACAAAGTCTAAAAGTTAAATTCGACGAAGGTTTTGCTTCACATAACCACCTAACGCGTTTTTAACTCCTTGTCTTCTCCTCGTCTGCTAATCGTTGATTCTAATACGAGCAGTCGCCATTTTAAATAGGAGCACGATTTTACCCGTAAGGCTCTCTGGTCTGTTGCAAAGCTAGGCCAAGAAGATTATTTTTTTTCGCTATGGCAATGTTAGGCCATGACCAATTTTTTTTCGTTTTAGCTATTTTTTCCCCTAAGACTTTGCTTTGACTTTTTTTTAATTCCATTTTAAATTGTTTTTAACAACTTTTCACAGAAAATTAATTACAATTTCGCTCCAATTTTTTTTAGTTCCCAAATAATTTACTTCGGTTTTAAAATTACTTTCATAAAATATTATTTTGATTAAAAAACAAAAAGGCATAAAAACATACAAAAGAAAACAAAAAAATAAAATAAAAAATAAAATATGGATATACAAGAAAATTGTTGAGACATTGGGTTTTTTGTTATGGCAGTCTTACGACACCATGGTTCACCTTTTGACTTGTTAAAGATTTCGTGCGTTTAGAGTATGGATTTGGTTAACATCACAGTACTATGCCTTCTTACGCTCGCTTCAGCCGGTAGAAGAGTAGAAATAAGGGCTGGATTCTAATGTTTAACTTATGCTTATGATTGTGTTGGATTATTCCTACACAATGAAGCGTTCACCAACTTACATAAAAAACATCTATAAAATTGCTTGCTGAATTTTTTACACTCCTACACATGGCTCACTAACAAGTACAAAGAACATCATCTTTGCCATTTCGTGATTGTATTATAGTTATATCATTTCTCTATCCATAGCATGTCGTCCCTGGAGATAAATAGCAGTGAATCCTGTGGACCTGTGCAACACAGGCTCCAATATTCCCAAGAACTTATTTTTTGGCCGTAATCTGCTTTCAAAAATGAGATTCAGTCACACCACAACTGTGCTTGATCCTCAAAGTAGTTTACTCTGACGAAATTCGAGGTCGAGATCGTTATCGTAAACTACAGAAAGCCCTACATTATTGTTATGCCCCTAAATTACGATAAGAAAATACTTCAATGAGGATAAAAAAAAGTTATAAAGGAATATTCCAGCTGCTACTACAGCTCTCTTGATACTGGTCGACGAGTATACTTAAACAGCGATCTTTCTGATACGAATCAATGTGACAAACAGTGAGGAACACTTCTTTACGGTAAAGTAGCACGAGCCACAAATAATTAAAATATAAAAACCAGCTGGTGAAGTTCAGTATATTATGAACAAAACGCGCTTACATAAGATAGCTAATAAAGGAATTACAGAAAGTGGCTGACAAATAGTTAACAGGCTATTTGAAGTTACGTTGTTTTGGAACTTGCAACTCGCGCCATTTCACGCAACTCACTTTCTTCTGTGTTCACCAAAGTGTCAAATTTGTCGAACTCTGCTACCGTTCCACGTTTCAAAAGTAAAATTTTATCACAGTCTTTGATGGTGTTCAATCGATGAGCTATAGTGATGACCGTAGAGTCTCTCAGTTTTGCACGCACTACGCCCAAGATTGTTTTTTCTGTCTCTGGATCTACATTTGCAGTGGGCTCATCCAAGACGATGATCTTGTTTCGTTGCAACAACACACGAGCCAAACAAATCAACTGTCGTTCTCCAACACTGATATTTGCACCATTTTCCAACAGTTCATGATCAAGTTGCCCGTGAAGACTTTTCACTGATTCTTTCAGTTGCACATCTTGTAGAACTAGCCATAAATCTGCATCTGTAAACTGCTCAACAAGATCGAGATTTTTCCTCAGTGATCCATTAAACAGTACTGGACTTTGGCCAAGGACGGATATACATCGTCGAGTTTCCTGGAGGTTGATTTCCTTCAATGGAATCCCATCAATGACTATTTCATCACACGATTCAGGCATGCGCATTAGAGCTGCCACAAAAGATGACTTTCCAGCACCTGTCCGACCAGCAACACCGATCTTTGTTCCTCCTTTGATATTGAGTTTGATATTCTTCAACACTTGTGGTCCTCCCGGATAATATCTCAAGGATACTTCTTTGAATATGATATTTCCTTCATTTGGCCAGTTTTCCGGGGGTCGTCGTTCGATCATGTATCCTGGCTCACATTCAAGCTTGGTATATGTAATAACTCGTTCAACTGATGTCATTAGATTCTCGACCTCTGAGGTTGTTCGAATGGCGTAATGAGACCGCCCAAGTCTTTGAACAACGTAAGCCAAGGCAAGTCCAGCAAAAGCTAATTAGACCAAAAATTGAAACTAAAGATTAACCAAAGAAGATTTTAACTGATTTTCGACACTAAACAGTCAAAAAATAGTCTTGTCACGCCCTTGCCATGGAAAGTTAAACAAGGCAATACAGGGGGTTTTCCTGAGAAGATTCATTTATGCGGACTACTGCATAAAGTTGGCATGAGGGAGGCCTGTTTATTGGGGAAAAGATGCGATTAGAGCAAAAAATGGGTGCGAGGAAATTGCACTGATAGGAGTCAATCAGATTGCAAGGATCACCAGTGATTTCAAAAATGGATGTAACAAAGTATTTACTCCACTTTACGACTCGATTGACCACTAATACTTAAAATTACGCACAATATTAATCCTTGATTTCCCTCAGTCCTGAGCGAATGCAATATACTACACATTCCACTGATCACCTTAAATCTGATGAGACTCTGTAAGTATTTGGGTTTTTTGCGCCTTCGGTCACTCAATCGAATAAGGGATTGGCTTCTTTTTGTAATACGAACTCACCGGCATCTTGAGACATAATAACAGCTGAAAAAGCCACTGCACCAACAAATAAGGATGCAAGAATTTCAAATCGCACACTGATCCATTTCCCACCGGCCATTACCAAGATGTTTGCTTGATTCAGAACATCATGATGTCTTTAAGAAAGCAAGTGAACAGGACAAAATTAATGGGTTATTCATTGCTTTCTGATCATTTGAACATATAGGGGATCAGAGAAAACGTCTATCTGAGATGACGGTAGGCTCTTTACCAGCTTCTCGTCTCTTCTCGGGGAGGAGCCAAGACCGGACACGAGAGATCGGCGGAAATCGAGCCGAGGATTTCGGGTGCCGTTTTGTTCTGAGGGAAATACTATTACCTTGCAGTAACTATTTATGGAAATGACAATATGACGTCTTTCTTTTATCTCTATAAATCAAGTAGTTCATGTCTGAGAATCCATTGTACTAAGCCAAGATGCAAGTTGTATAAAATTAATTAAGACGAGGCAAACCCACCTGTAAAACTGATACACAAAATCACTTTGTCGCTCTCTGGTCCGAATCGTCTCCAGTCCATCAAGGGTCTCCGAAATGTGAGAGAATACTGGACTACGACTTATGGACGCTAACCTCTTAAGTTCCCTGGATGTCTTCAAATAATACGTGGACAGGTATAGAGCAACCGAAATCAACGGTATAAGTATGAAAATAAGCCAAGGATTCATAACAGCT